TGAGCATGGGCCATACACCTAGGATATGACTAACCAGTTCTGTCAGCTGTCAGAACTGGAAGCAAAAATAACCTTTGGCAGATAGTAAAAAAAACTTCAAAATCTAAACTGCTATTTACTTAACAGCCCAAAGAACCCATGACCTTGAGGCAATGTGTTCAAGATGCTTTTGACTCCTAGGAGACAGCCAAACATTCAATTTAAAATACGACTGTGTGCAAAGAAGTGTTATTTCAAATACATACCAAAGTACAAATGGGGATTTTCACATGTTCTGCTGCTGTAAATAGCGCTTAAAGGAAACTAATGAAAGTTAGCCTTCACATCTCAAAAATGTTCTGTGTCCACCTTTATGCACTTGATCAGAGTTGGTCTCCAAAACCCAACTCTTAGACAAATGAACACCAAATTATTCATGAGGACACAAGCAGAAAGAACGCTACTCACTTGCACAGAAGCACTCCCAATGTAAAACTCTGCAGCAATAGTCATCTTAGCCAATACTGGAGAATACACAAACCTGCAAGAATCTCGTGTAACATTCAGCTTACAGGTTACGGCTAATTGTTTTTCTGCCTCTAAACCAGACACACTTCCAAGGACTGTTGGGAAACGCGTACTACAACTCGGCCACGTACAGAACCAACATGAGGTTGTGAAGGGAGAGGGTGTCAAGCTGATGACGTTATCTTACGACAGTTAAATACCAGTCGTACGTCAGTAAATTCATACTAAACATTGCACAAAATCATGATTAAAAAGCTGCAAAGTTAATCACTCCGAAGTTCAGAAGTGACAGAATTACAGCTGCCTGTCCTACCCCAATTTCACCCGTTGTGCAGACATATTCCTTTTTTGCTGCACCTACTTATCTTTAGGTTAGGTAAATAACAAACCTGTTCCCTCAGCATACCAGAGTCATTCAGCGCACACGCTGGATGCCAGAATTTGTTTCAGCATCATCAAAACTTTTTTCTTGAGGCCTTGCTCTCGGGAAGGACTGAAAGCTTTTGAAAAAAAAGTTTTACCTTACAAACACAAACAAGTGACAGAAAACACCTCAGCCCTCATTGTAAAGTCGGACAAAGCTATAATTGAAAACAAATTTTTTAAATGGGACCTGTACACTTGACCTACATCCAACGTGGTCTGCTGTTATAATCCAGACGGTATTATTAAACAGATATGACAAATCCCTAAAACAATGGCAAGCTGGTTCAAGCAAACTGCCTTAAATTATTGGCTACTCACAGATCTTGTTTGAAATGCAAGAATGAAGTTCTGTAAATACTGCACCGATTACTGTAGTTCTGTAAATACTGCACCAATCTCGGCAGGCACAGGTTCTCTACTTATTTTTGCCACAAACCTGGGGCCCAACCTATTTCACATCAGACAGCCAAAATAACTACAATGCCTTTTTAACAGCATCCCTGTGATTTAGGTCAACAGCTTCATTAAACACCTGAAAAGTGAGAACCTATTTCGCATCAGACAGCCAAAATAACTACAATGCCTTTTTAACAGCATCCCTGTGATTTCAGGTGTTTAATGAAGCCGTTGACCTAAAAGTGAGTGTAAGTATATATTCTCATCAACGACATCTAACGCTTCGGGGAATCCTTTACCCTGCTTCCAATAACGTCCATGCATCTGCTCTTCCTTCAAATTCAATACTAGCAGGATAGCTAAGTGTTCCACGGAATACAAAATCCTACAGTCAAACCACATTCGGGGTGCAGCCTTACAGCTCTTCCTTGCACAACTCCCAGGCAAACGGAAGCCCAGTGAAGAACACAGGATGCAGCTCTGGTGGGGATAAAACAAGTTGGCCTCTCATCTCTCACTGACACCACTGATGCTCTTGGGAGCCCTACGCTCATTTAGAGAGGGAAGAATTTGAATTTAAAGCTTAAGTCAAACCAAGAAAGACAAAACCAGCTACGAAAATAAACCTAAATCCATATCCTTTCACAATCCTTATGCAAAAGGGTGAGTATAAGTGATGCAACATGCCTTACAAAACCACCAGCACTGACATGTGTTTACATTTAGAAATAGGGCTATTGCTATCTTTCATAAATTATATTAATTTCAGTGTTCTAATTAAAATATAATCTATAGCATTATACCCAAGTTGTAGGGTGCACTAAGCCAATACTTCACTGATGAACTCAATGCTTTGTATGAAAATTCCCACAGAGACTTGGCTTAAAACACAATCTTCTTGCAGTAAGTTAAAGTTTACTGCTAGTCAGAACCAAATAAGTAAAACCAAAACCACTAGCTTTAGAACAACTTATTTCTGCACTTCATTTCAGTGTTTTTCTCCTTCCTGTTTTTGACTTTTTGGCTACAAATTTTTGGGAAATCTTAAAAACTGACTCAGCTGGAACTGGGGTATCATTCTGCACGAGCATATAATGCCATCATTACCAAAAGCGTCCTAGCAATCAAAACAGACTGCATGGCCAACTCCTATTTCTCTCTCTCTCCCGTTTCCTCCCCCAGAAACCTTTCTGATGCTCTCTGAGCCCCAGCAGAAGCAGGGCACGGGGAAGGGCTGAAGCAAGGAGATAGCGAGGGCCCCTTCAACAGGGCATTACCGACAATGTTTCAGTGTTGTGGATGGCACATACAGAAAAGGAAAAGAAGGTTCCTACTTCTAAATATTCATGTCAGACTTTCTACAGACTCCACGAGTCACCAGACCACCAGCTACATCTGCACATACTTGGAAGTTCTGCATGTAACCAGACAGAAGCAGATTTATTTACGTATTTTTAACCAAGGACTGAATTTTGCCCAATAAAAAAAATACAGTCCATGGGCCACATGCAGCTCACAAAATGGTTTGAATCCAGTAATTAAAAATGTTACTGTGGAAGAAGGGGTGTGTGTATATATATGCATAGATTTTTTTTATATATATGACAGTGTGACTGAAAAATCAAAATATGCAAATGCGTAAGTCTACACAAACACATACCCGAATATTTAGATGAACTTGCTGTAATTAAAGATCAGGTTCTTCTTCCAATTCCCTTTTGTCTTCTCAAAACTATTTTATTAGCACATCTTATGAAGCAGTTTCATAACACAACATGTTATGAACAGCACTGCGAAAGAATCTGCAGCCACACCTAGTGGTTCCAACTTCTAGAAACCAACATTCTCAGGAGAGTCTATCGGGTATCGTGGATTTTAAAATCCACAGGACACCTATAGGGACCCCCCTTATCTGTAGAGGGTGCAAAGCTCAGCTTTGAAAAACAAGAGCCAAGAGTCAGGTCCCTTCTGTAATGTTTCAGTTGGCACCTCCAGATATTCAGTCAGAGATACAAGCAGCTGAATTACAGAATGACAGTTTGTACAGAACTGGCCTACTGTCCTCTGAAACAAGCAGAGACCTCCAGCAGACCTCTTCAAAGTCTGAAAGAGAAAAAAGCAGATACTGCTTTGTGCAAACAAGGGTTTATAAAACTGGAGTGGTGATTTTTGAGCACGCGATTTTGTGTTGGCTAGGTGAGGTGGGGCTACTCGTAGGAGTAAACTGCAGGTGGGGAGAAGAAAACCTTGAAAACACACCATCGTAAACAAACTTTTATTGAGAGTGGCTCTGCAAAAGGAACAGCTCCTCAACAAAGCCTGATGCCCTATAAATCAGGCTGAACAAAGCAAAACCTAGGTGTTAGCAGAGAACTTCTAGTTCAAATGTAATTTCAGAGTTGTTCCTTTTTTATCCCAACATCTCCATGACAGCCACTGATACAGATCTTCCAAAGAAGTGGACTGAATAATTACAGTGGTCTGTGGCCACATCCCTCAGAACACCCTTGTGGCCTATTTCCAGCCATTAAAGTTAGTAGGATCTAAAAAAAAAAAAAAAGAGCTACACAACAGAGACATTCTATTGCCAAAAGTTACCATTCCTTTGATTTCTCTGTAAAGTTTTACTAATTAGGCCAGGTTTCAACCTGTCGAACTCAGGTGGGTGTAGCAAATTTGCACTAATAAAATACTCACTCCTCACATCCAAAAATTTAAGTACTACCTATGAGGAAATTCTGCCAAGTGACGCAGCTGAATCTACTTAGCAGTTACATTGAGCAGTTACTTAAATTGCAGTATTCTGCTCTTATTTACCTCCTTCTGCTACATCCAATTCCTGACTCATAACTTGCACATAACAATTCGGATTACATAGAGTGTATCAGTTATTTGCCCACTCGGACCTTATATAATTTGTATTGATAGTGAGGTGTTTACTCTTAAAAGAAAAACTGTAAGTCAGCTTTTCTTCCAGTAGAGAACCAGTTTAATCTGTATCTGTACATTATCCTCTCCTGAACGCACCGATGTGCCACTCTGCCCACCTCTGTCCTAGCAAACCCCGAGAGAAGCACTGAAAGGCCCTTAACGCCTGCCTCCATCTACAACAAACCAGCAGCGAGCTCTAAGGTGCAAGACAACCAGTTCACCCCAGCAATTCATCCGGTAGTTCCACCACAGACTCACGGTCGATTGCTTAGCTATAAAAAACAGACATCACCCATGTCGCACTAATGCTGATACAATGCCTCAAAGAAAAATTCCTCTTGTGATTAATGAGAAGAATAAACTAATTAGCTGTTTGTCCTCTTAATCCTCTCGCTGAGGGGGGAAAAAAAAAAAAAAAGGCATTTCACCTCTAAGCAGAAGTGCTTTTTATTCTGTTGAAGCCTATCGCAAGGTTACGAATGCCGGAGCCGCCCGACAGCGGAGAGCAATAGCAGGACAGGTCTCAGTCTTCCAGTTTGCGCAACTGAAGCGAATCATTCATTAATAAACAATTACCAGTTGTCAGCGAGTTGACAGAAAGAAGAGACACCACAAGAATTTCTGCTCTGGAGAAATACAGCCATCGTACCACCAAGCAATTGTCAGGGCTCAGAATAATTAACATTATGATAATTCAGATGAGAGTTCTGCATTTGTAGCTGGGAAGTTTTGAGTTTTACCTGTCTTGTCTTTGCTGATGTTTCAATGAAAGGAATTCCGTAACTTCTTGCTAAATCCTGAGCTTGTTTTGTATCTACTGTTCTGGAAGGCAAATCACATTTGTTTCCTACTAGCACCATTGGGACATCTTCAGAGTCTTTAACTCTCTTTATTTGTTCCCTAAAAAAAAAAAAAAAAGGTAGACTTTAAAACAATGAAAAAAATTAAGTGAACAGATTCCAACATCCTTCTTTATGCTAATTTACTGCACGTACACTATTAGAAGCCACCAAAAAATAAATTGAACAAACCCGTCACCGTTTATTTATCATCTCATTTAGAGGGAGAAAAGAAGTTGACATTTTGCAAATTACTACAGATATTGATGTCATTACACTATTTTTAAACAGCAAATGCCAGAAGCAGCTCTGGTATAAATCTTACCACTTATGTCTCACACTCAGCACTCACAATACTCAAAATCATTTGCTAAGATAAAACACTGTCAAAAGTGCTAGGACTGTTGTCTCGACTTGGTTTGGTTTTGGCTATTTTTTCCTTAATTAAAGGCAGCATTACAAACTGCATTTAGATAGGGTTTTTTTTAACTCTGAAGACTACTGGTCTAGTTCTCTACAAAGAGGAATATGGTAAGAGCATCCTTTCAAACACTAGTTAGAAAGCATCTTGAAATACTAGTTAGATGTACTTGCCAGGAATCTCAAATAACAATCATTAACTTCATTGCTTTTGCCTTCACAAATAACCTAGCAGTATGTTCCTCAATGTTATTTATAAGCCATCAGCTTCAGTCTGCAGGGTCATCCTCAGGTGTGTGAATGCACAGCAGGAACTCACAACATTCTTTGAAATGATCTGGGAAAGCTGCCTTGTGCACCTCTTTAAAAACAAAAATTCCACATAAAAACCTCTAAGCTCTTTCTGCCCCTTGTCAACGCCTATCTCGCCTTTGTCCACTCTTTCTATAGCCAGGGGAAACCCATTTGCCACAGTCTGGTTAGATAAGAAAGAGAAGTTTAAGGTGTTTCTGAAAACCATAGGTATGGTATTTTTACTTTGTCACCCCTGCTGTGCTAACCCTTAACAGCCTTTTTTTTTTTCTTTAGTCACCAGTACCAATTCATGATATATAAAATGTTCTAATTGAATGTAATTTACACGAAGACTGGCTAGCTCAATTTAAATATAAACAGTCCTGAAAGAAAGTGCCCACATTCTCAACACTGATCTCTCCCCCAGGTTAGCAGGCAGCAGATTTGCCCCTCTGGTTTGCAACGGCAATCCCCTGACCCCGCAGCTGCTCCATGGAGAAAAGGCAGCAGTAAACTATTTCTCTAAGTAGGTATCTACCTGTGTAGCTACTCACATCAGCACACCACAATGAAATCAGCTGGCCTGCAGGAGCAAACGTGACCAGGGGAGCTGCACCTGCTGACCTGGGTTACCCCCAGCTGCCATGGTACCCCACCTTAAACGAGGAGCCGTGACTTCCATCCATAACACCACCAGTGCAACTTCAGCTTATGAGAAGATGGGGCGCTTGTGGGTAATGCTGACAGCAAAACACTGCTCCACCATACAGTAACGTAAATCTGACAGCGTTATAAATGCCTACCTACGAATACCTCAACATTAGGTGCTTGGGACTAATCCCAAACCCATGCTGCAAAGCTCAGGGGTCTTCGGTGGGATCCGCACCGCCCTCTAACAGAACACCCAAGGAGAATTCAGTGTAGTAGCAAGCTACTAATTATAAGTGATCTGATGCGTTAATCACTAGAGACTGCTTCTATTTCTGTATTAGTGTAGCTGAAAGGAAGCCACGAGTTGCAGTTTTTAATTACTTATTAAAAAAGAGAATATGAAGAAACTAGTAACAGCGTGCTTTTAGCAGTCATCCTGGGGGTCTGATCTCCTTAGACATCAGGGCTCACCCTTGTCACTCTTCTGCTAACTTTACACAGGTATTTCCCCTTCACCCCCAGAACAAAAGTCAACAATTGACAGTATTGTCTGTACAATTTCAGTTGCATCAGTTTTTCCATCTTAGCCAACAACTTTATGTATGGAATGGGCAGAGTTTACCTTTAGAGAAGTCTTTACAATGAACAGGCAGAAATACCAAGTCGCATTACTTTATACCAGAAGACTTTGCAGGTATTTTGTCTGCCTAACTTGTGAACAAGGCAACAGATGTTCAGATTACCCCCAATTCCAGACCTACTAACACACAAAGAAGTTGCAATATTGCTAATTTGCCAATTTCCCCTTAGATGCTATGTCATAAACGAGATCAAACTATCTTCTAGTGGAAGAGCTAGCAACCTACCCACCTAATACAAGAGTCAGTCAATTATCTTTCAATATACACACCTATAATGGTGAATATCTTCAAAAGACTTGGTATTGTTTATAGCAAATACACAGAGGAAGCCTTCCCCTGTTCTCATATATTGATCCCTCATTGCACTGTATTCCTCTTGACCTGCTGTATCAAGAATATCCAAGAGACAGGTTTCTCCATCAATTACTACTTGCTTCCTGTAGGAATCCTAAGAAAAGAAAAAAACCCAAACCTTGGTTAAACACAAACAAGTAAGATTTCAAACACCTCTAAGTCAGGAGATATTCAAGTTCTTTACTAGTAACCAAGCAGGACTGAAAACACTGCAGCATTAAAATCCAACTTTACGGATGGGCAAGTGACAGTAGGAAAACAGCATCCCGTATTTACCCGTACAGAGTAACCTAGGAGTGGAAACAGCACTGGAAGGACACGTTCTTCTTTGCATCCTGAATCTTCAGCGTGTAATCGCAGGTGTGCGTGCGTGCAGACAGAAGAGCAGCGTTCTTATTTTTTACAAAAGGACAAGAAGTACAAACTGGATCCAGATCAAAAGCACCGCCCTTTAGTCTCTGTTAACAGAAGTACTGACGAAACTTGTAATTCTGATTTTAAGAGGTTTGACTTTGTTCAAGATTACTCAGTTTACCAATTTTTTTTTAAAGCAAACTTTGACCTTCATTCTATGGATGTTTATGAAAACACTGTGCCCCAGCAATGTACAAAATAATAAAATAGGAAGAGTACGCAAGTAAGACGCCTCCAAAACTCTATGCCACTGAAAAGGAAGTCAAGTATGAAAAGCCTGCACTGTTGGGACAGGAAATCTGCTTTGTGTGCCTAAGTAGGTGCATAAAATGGTATTTGCCATTAAGTTATCAAAATCAAACTGATATTATTTGAAGTTCAACCTCAGCCAACACAGACCAACGGTCATATAAAAGCCCGGATGGGTTGGTTCACAGAGATGTCAGAACAAATTATTTCAATGATATCAGTTCAAAGTTTTCAGGTCACTGATTCAGGTGGCTAAAAATCTGAACAAAGTCCCAAGCAACTAGATAGTAATGTCTCTTTACAGCTCTTTTTGGTGCTAGGCTTCTATGAGTCCGTAGTTTTGGCAATAAGAACATCAGCACTACTTTCCCAATAACTTCTATAAGCATCTGTATATTTGAAATAAAACCATGTCAATGAGCTTTAAAAATAGGTCATCGAACAGTGCCATGAATTATTCTCAGTAAACAGTACTTGTAGCAAATAAAAGGTATAAACACAGAATCTTGTTATTACCTTTCTGACCCCTTAGCTAGCGATTAACACAACACTGCTATTGTTCTTTTTAACCCTGCACAGAAGCGAACCTAAGCTACCAGGCAGGGAATTGAAGTTGCAGTCCTAACCAACTTCAAGATGAGTTCAGAATTACCTTCCCTCCTTTGTACCCATTTTCAAGAAAAGCACATCTACTCCTGTGCGCTTTGTATCTACTTGTTTTCTTAGAAAAAGGGTCTCTTCTCTCCTGTTGATCACACTAAACAAGAACCAAGCGGGAGATAATTGTATAGAACGAGTATCTTAAAACTAAAACTCTGTAATCTCACATTTATCTTGAGCCTGGATGACATCTAACAGTGTCAGGTAAAACAATACTGACTGTTTACCTTAAAGATAAAAGTTCACCTCCAACGTGATTTTGGAAATACCTGTGTCACAGAAGTGCAAATTCAATGTTCAAGTAAGAAGTAGGCAGCTCGCTTTAGGAACGTATAAGCCACGTTTAAATACCAACACAGCTGAGAGAAATACACAGGCTCCAACGTGCTTTAAATGAGGTTAATATTCTACCTCATTGCTTAAAAAAAAAAAAACAAAACCAAGAAAACACATTAAAAAAAAACCCCAGAGGACACATCTTCATTCCAATTCACTTAAATTCAATAGCAGATCCCCCATGTCCTATGATACCTTTATCACAGTTCACAGTGAAGTACCAGTGCTATCATTATACTGGGCATATTTACAAAGCTTTCATTTTCTCTTCTTGCAATTTGCCTGCTGGTTTAAAAATATGAAAAACAGTTCTTGAAAAGCCTGTATTATTCCTTTACATCTTAGCACTTCAAAGGAAGAGAAATTCCCCCTCAACTAAGCTCTAAACAAAAGCTTTAAGTAATTTTCATCAAAGAATCGTTATTAAGAGAAAAGAAAATCACTTTTAAGAACTGCTGGCTTTAGCATGCCTGCCATGTTAACAGCAGCAGCAAATAAGCACCAGCATAGAGCACAGCACAGGTAGAAAAAAAGGGAATGATTTGAGATGATAGCTGTTTTGCTCACTTCTGGAGAGAAAAGGGGGTTTGAGGGAGAAGGAAAAGATGTGGAAGCGAAAAATACAAGCTTTCAAGCTACTGAAATAATAAACACTTTGCTTTTTTGCCTCCCTCTTCTTTTTCCCTGCAAAACATCAAACCTGAAATCCCATTTGTCGTTTTAAGAAAAGACAGCTGACACAGCACGTTGAAAGCTCATGCTACCCGCGCCCCACCACGGTGAATACCAGTGTAAACATGCCCAAGACAAAATTTCTTTATTTTAGTGTTATCATACTGTAAAAATTATCAAGTCCTGCAAAACAGAATACAGGATGTAACAAAGTTTTGCCACTATACCACTTGTGGCACTTCCGCTTCAAAACGCAACTGGCAGAACCCAAACGGCCAGACTCCCCTTCAAGAACAACAAAAATACAATCTTCTGATCTATAAATATAAAAATCCAGTAGCTTTACTGCACATTGGAAGATAGGCCGTAATGAATCCAATGAAAAAACAGTGAAGAAATACAAAATGTAAACCAGAGGTTAATTTCAAAGCAGCACCTGACGCCAAATGCAAAATCGCAATTTTTCCGCCCGTACAGAGACTCAGTGTCATGTGCGTCAAAAAGTTTTCATTTCATGAATCAACCTGCTTTTCTTGGCCTTTCGCAAGCCGTACAAACCAGCATGAATTATGCTAAAGGGAGTAGTAATCCCACCTGTTTGCACTGATAAGAGAAGCGATAGGAAATCTCAGCTATACGCTACATATGGAATTTATCTTACAGCCCACTGCTTAATAAATCCCATCTAAGCGAGTAACTTTTGTGAAAACCCATTATACCCATGATTTACCGTGGAAATATCACAGCTACCAAGACTAAGCTGTTCCTAGACACTGGTGGGAGTTTCACAGGTGCGCAGGTCATCCAAGCGCGCCGTCTTACGCGCCAGTACTCCTAAACCAGCCGAGGGATTTTGTTAATCCAATTGAAAAACCTCCGACAGGCAACTCGGGAAGGCTGTTCTTTCCCCAGGACATCTAGAAGGTGACGTGTATTTAGCCCGAAAAGGCGCTGAAGCCGTAAACCGAGCGGCGGGGCCGGGCCGCT